ACATCCAAATAACGTCTTCAGTATCTGAACAATTTCTCTAGGTTGTTTGTACTGGATTACACTTTATATTCTATAAAACTTACACCCAAATAACGTCTTCAGGATACAGTATCTGAACAATTTCTCTAGGTTGTTTGTACTAGATTACACTTTATATTCTATAAAACTTACACCCAAATAACGTCTTCAGGATACAGTATCTGAACAATTTCTCTAGGTTGTTTGTACTGGATTAAACTCTATATTCTATGAAACTTACATCCAAATAATGTCTTCAGGATACAGTATCTGAACAATTTCTCTAGGTTGTTTGTAATGGATTACTCCCTATATTCTATAAAACTTACGCCCAAATAACATCTTCAGGATACAGTATCTGAACAATGTTTCTAGGTTGTTTGTACTGGATTACACTTTATATTCTATGAAACTTACATCCAAATAACGTCTTCAGGATACAGTATCTGAACAATTTCTCTAGGTTGTTTGTAATGGATTACTCTTTATATTCTATAAAACTTACGCCCAAATAACATCTTCAGGATACAGTATCTGAACAATGTTTCTAGGTTGTTAGTAATGGATTAAACTTTATATTCTATGAAACTTATGCCCAAATAACATCTTCAGGATACAGTATCTGAACAATTTCTTTAGGTTGTTTGTACTGGATTACTCTTTATATTCTATAAAACTTACGCCCGAATAACATCTTCAAGATACAGTATCTGAACAATTTCTCTAGGTTTTGGTTTACGAGCGAAGTACGGCTCATTCTCAGGTGGGAAGTGTTTGTATATGTTATACCACATAGGAATATCCTCCTCCTTCATGGCTCCTGACCGAATAAGGCCTGTAGCCCTAGGAAAAAGTAAAGAATGAGCTTATTTTCTTTGAAAGAAGAAACTCAAAAAAAAAAAATATATATATATATTTCTTTTATAGATGATTCAGGCAGTCTTTATCATCAACAAACAAGTTCAAATGGGCAGCACCTGCCTAGTTTTGCGAGACATTTGAAAAGAAACTGGAAGTCTTTTGAAACGTTGTCCTTTCCATCTGAACTACTTTTGTAGACTATTTCTTTGACACTTTCTCCTCAAGTGTCACTCTGAACAAGACAGTTGCCACCCATTTCAACTGTTTGTGCTTCAGAGACCTTCAGCCTTAAGCTACCAAGATACTGTTTCATTGATAGCTCTATCTATTTACCATAATTTCTACACACTCTGTAAAAGTTGTGCAGAGATATACTTATACTTGACTGTGAATATCTCTGTAGAGATTATAAATGAATGGTGAAATAAATATTCATACTTATATTTTATGAGAGTAATGAGCATCGTAATATTCAACATTATTTGTATAATATTACTTGGCACATGATCTACCCACTCCACATGTCGTACTTTGTCACGTAACCAGAGGAAATGATGGTTAACTTAATTCAATTTCAAGCACTTTTAAAACTATAAGCCTGGTATTGTACATCAAACCGACTACATACTCAGACTTTGATTCGAGGCTCAAAAGCCAACTATTTTAATTTTTTTAAACAAAAAGCAATAATAACACGTGACTTAAAAACATTTCACTTACTATAAGTGTGTCTAACTTGAAAGTATGTATAACAATGTGTGAAAAAAAAGAAATCCCTCAAATGATTGATGGGATTTGAATATGAAATGCCATTGTAGAGTTAATGTTTTAACAGCTTTAAATATAAACAGTGTTTCTATTTTTGTACTAAATTTGCCAGTAGCGACTGAAAATACATGGACTGTATGTATGTCCTATGTAATGAAAGAGGAAACTGGATAAATCCCATCAGTACCCCTAGTGACCACCCACCCCCACTGACTGATCTACATTGAGCCAACACTGGATCCCTCATTGACTGATCTGTGCTTAGCCAAGACTGCATCCCTCACTGACTGGTCTACATTGAGCCAACACTGCATCCCTCACTGACTGATATACATTGAGCCAACACTGCATTCCTCAGTGACTGGTCTATATTGAGCCAACACTGCATCCCTCACTGACTGGTCTACATTGAGCCAACACTGCATCCCTCACTGACTGATATACATTGAGCCAACACTGCATCCCTCACTGACTGGTCTACACTGAGCCAACACTGCATCCCTCACTGACTGATATGTATTGCACCAACACTGCATCCCTCAATGACTGATATGTATTGAGCCAACACTGCATCCCTCACTGACTAGTCTACATTGAGCCAACACTGCATCCCTCACTGACTGATATATATATTGAGCCAACACTGCATTCCTGAGTGACTGATATATATTGGGCCAACACTGCATCCCTCACTGACTGATATATATATTGAGCCAACACAGCATTCCTCACTGACTGATATGTATTGAGCCAACACTGCATCCCTCACTGACTGATCTGTACTGAACCCACATTGGAGCTAAAAAATCTATGTATTTTATAATGAAAATAACCTACTGACGTATTCAAAATCATTCCTAGTTGATTAACCCATATTGGACAGGTTCAAACATAAAATCCTAGGAGTTAGAGCATAAACCAACTTCTCTTTACTTTATGAAATAACACTTTTAATGAAAGTGTTAAACTTCCAAGTTCTACTACTAGTACTAGCCTTGACTGTCTCGAAGCAGCCGCCATTATGATTAAGCAACAAATTAAGGTATAATTAAGTGAAAGTTATAAATCTGGTAACATTTATCTCACCTTTAAAGTTTAATTACGAAGTCATATGTAAACTATGCATAAAATGTCGCGTAATCGGAATCTTATATACTAGTAATAGTATTAGTGTTACTGAATACAGTGTAGTAATATTAATAGTTTTACGTTGAGGAATATATTTGCAAATAAAATATAAAAAGTGATCATACTGGATAGCATTACAAGTTTAATAGAAGAGAAAATTGGGGGAAGAGGAAAGCAAGCTGTAACGATACAGGATTAAAAGTACCTGGAAAATATTGTCCCCAACTTTTCCAATCTTGCACCAGCCATATCAACACGGTTCTCCGGCTTGGAGACGCCCTCTAGTTTTTTAAAGGAGAAGTGCTGTCAGTCTCAACCGACACGAAATGCGTCGAATAACAAAACAAAATCTGGAAATTACAAAACAATCATGTTACATAAGTATATATTTTATATACAGATATATATGTGTACAAGCATATTTCTGTTTTTAAAGGTTATAATTGCTGTTTTGGTTAAGGAGAATAAGAATTAAATAATGATTGCTGATATATAGTCAAAGTATAAAAACAATGACATAAATTCAGAGAGTATTACCTTGTTCAATACTTATACACTAAGTTTTAAATATTTAAATCTTTATGCATATTTTGATGTCATTCTAATATTCATTGACAATTTTTCAAACCAAAAAATTTCGTAGATAAAATTTTCTGTTTATATTTGTTATAGTACGTCCTTACTGGACTTCCACCGATAAAATCAATTACGTAGTTTTGCTGTAAAAACAAACAAAACATGTAACACGGCCAGATGGTTAGGACACTCGACTCGCAATCTGCGGGTTCAAATCTTCATCCCACCAAACATGCTTGCCATTTCAGTCGTGTGGGCGTTATAATGTGACGGTCAACCACACTATTCGTTGGTAAAAGAGTAGCCCAACAGTTGGCGGTGAGTGGGGTTGACTAGCTATCTTCCGTCTAGTCTTTCACTGCTAAATTAGGGAGGACTAGCGCAGATAGTCTCGTGTAGGTTTGCACGAAATTCAAACCAAAGTCTTGATAATATGATTTATTTATTTGAATTAAAAATAGAGAAATGTTCTTAATAGTTATCAACACTATTCTTACAGCAAACTGTTTTATTTCACCTGGTTAACTTCATATTTTTAGGTAATTTAAATGATCAGAACAGAAATAAATTCAAACTGAAGGAAAGCATGTGAGTATCAAAAGTCGATTATCAAACAATAAAAACAGTATCTAAATAAAATGTTTGTTTTGGTATACCATAGATCATGTAAGTCACGATACCAGATTAGCCTAGTGGAACGTCGTTAAAAAACAAGTTTGCTCTGTAAATCCATATAAACTGTTGAAAATATTATTAATGTTATTGTTTTGTAAATAGAGCATTTTAAATTAGATTCCTAATTTTATCTTTTTTATAATAAACGTGGCAAAAATGTAAAAACCCGCAACCGCTAGCTTTTCTAAAATCGAATAGACCTTGGGATGTATGGATAGGCATGTTAAATTAAAAAACAAAACAAATTGTGCAGGCAGTAAAACTAGAGGTCATGACTTCCGTTAAGGAAGGAAGTTCTATATTTAGTTTGGGGTAGAGTAGTGGTAGAAAATCGAACTAGATGAGACAACTGGTCTCCTTTCATCTGTTGGAAATAAAATGTAACAAGATATATATATGTAGGTGGATAGAGAAAGATCATTGAAAATGAGTATACACCCTCCTATTATGTTTCGAGTCTGTTTGACCCACACTGTTTACCATAGCGTTATTATTAAATCATATATATATATATATATATGCGAGCTTATATTAATTTATAATATTGAACATAGAGTAAAACTAAAAGCTATGCAAAGAAAAGGTACTTTGTCAATTTAAAATGTTTCAATTTGTTTGTGATTCCATTGGACGAAAGAAGAAAAAAAACTTGTGAGAAGAGTTATAAACATTATTGATACAAAAGATTTTGCAAATCCAGGAAGCAGAAAACTCCTGTTTTCCATTTTTAAGCCAAAGGGAAGGGAAACTTCCATAAGGTCTGATGTTCTAGGGAGGGGGGGGGGCAAGTAACAGAAGAGAGGCTTCGAAAAAAGAGGCATAAATGTCAACAAACATCACAGTAATAGAAAGTGGGATAGCGTTCCATCTATAGTGATAAAAGTTGGGATGGTTATGAAGGAAGTAAAGAATAGGGATCTCAGAATGTTGGACAAATTCAACTCCACACCAACTATTAAATACTGTTGCCATAGAGCCAAGAGGGCCTCCGAAACCAGAGGATGGAGTACATATTACAGTTCTCAAACAAATATTTAAAGTCTTGTTTTGAAGGTTGAAATAACAACAAAAGAGTAAGATGATGAGTTCCCCACAATGTACCAGAGAAATCTTTAAGAAAATTAACATGTTTCAGCCATACATAAATTAAAGAGAAAATGTGTTTTTCAAAGTCCATTGATTGTCCAGTATCATTCCAAGCTACTTGATTAAAGTCACTAAGAAGATATACGTCTACATATTACGAATGTTTGTATAACAGCATTTTTTCATACACATAAATAATATAATAACCATATATACTTGCAATTCAGTGCAAAAAAAAAGGTGAAACACCAGAAGGTTGCATGGACTGCACCTGAATCAAAGATGTCACATCTGAATCGTTGAAAATCTGGACAATTTTTTTACCTATGCATATGTCTTTCTGATACAAGATTTGTTAAAAATCAAATGAACCTCTCAAGAAGATAAATTTTGTTTTGCTTCTAAGTTTTCAAACACTTTAGCTTATGAATAAATTGCGCACTATAAGAATTGTGTAAAATGTTATTCACCACAATTAAGTGACTCCTTGACACAATCAGATGCCTCAGGAATCATCACACTTAGGCCACTAATTATGGTTACGACTATAAGCAACAATACGTCCAAAGCTATAGCAGTAAAAATACTGTACCATATTACTGATACAAAGTCTTACAAGTTGCAGAGAAGCATTCAGACAAACATTAATGTGAGTGAATAAAACTGTTTCATCAAAAGTGACTGCAACACTCTTCGTAACTAATGGACATTTATTTTCTCTCCTAATTAGTTGTTTGACACATAGGATCTTGTAATCAGAATTGCATGGTCTTAATACAAGTCCCCTGCGCCTATCTCTGGTGACACTTCATAAAAAAAACTCCTCAGCATTCTCTACTAGCCCTTGGCAACTGGGCAGTCACATATCATTCCCCTGGTTAAGATATTTGATGCAAAGTCTAGACAAAAGAATATTTTACTTACATCACCGGCACTTCACCCCTGTCAACAAATTTTCATAGGTCACGAATTTCAGAGATGTAATTCCTTCCTTCAGAACTCAAGTCAAGACCAATTGATTGCATTTACCCGGATTCTCGTTAGTACATTGAACTTTGAAGCAATTTAAGTGGGTTTCCTATCATGGATTAATTGTTATTCAATTGAGATGATCACTAGGATAACTTTTTTCATTTAGTTTGAAGTTTGGAAGCTTTGTTATAAGAATGTTGAACTTTAAGGATCACCTCAGGATCAGTAGTATAACTTATAAGTGGTAGAATTATCACGAGGGTCCTACAAATTACAATGCTATACTATCATCTACCAATTTCAAACCGAATCGGCATTCTCTAACATTTACTTAAGCCAACGAAGATACAATATACTTAATAAACAACACATAGGAGGATATAACTCATAAGCATCGGACTCTGGGACTACTCAGAAAATCCAGGGACCAAGCTAGGGTTAGCTTATTACTATTAGATCAAATTAACTAACAACAGTAACACTAGCTTGGATAACTAAATTAATAAAAACGACTAAGTTAAAAATATCAATAAAATAATTAGTACTACTATTACTAATATGAATAAATAAATAAAGTGGTAAAGGGTAAAGTTTAAAATGAAATAAAAAAGAAACTCTCTGCACTCGCTCAAAATCTCTTAATGATAATAGTCTTAATCATATTCTTTGACATACTTGGTATAACGTCCTTTTTCAACCTACTCAAAACTTTTTCATTGAGCCTTACGCCACAATTAAATCTACGCTCTTAGTCGTTTTTTGTTTGTTTCCGTTATTTTATCTTGAACTCGTGCTTCCAGTTAATTCTAAACCCTTTCATGACACGTTCATACAGCTTTTATGTAGAGGGCGTATGTGTTTGGCTGTTTATTCACCACCTGTGACTGTGAGAAATAATATCCCAGATAAGTGCAAGTGGCGTGTGTGAGATGTGAGTTTGGCAACGTAGTTTTTATATTAAAAGTATGTAAATTTATTTATGGTAAGGTTTGATTATTTCTCTTCATGGAGGCTACATTTATGCAACTTTTCAGTGTAGTTGCATTGTAAAACCATCAAATTAAAGCAATACACTTTTTATTTTGTTTTTGACATTAGGCCTAAAAACTAAACATTTCGCAATGAGGCGAAGAAATATTGTAACTATCAGCACTACTAGTGATTCTGGGAAAAACCAGACCGTTGATGACTCACAAGATCAAGAAAACAGCACGTGTTCAAGTACTGATGCAAATGAACAACGATCTTTTGGAACTAACGACCTGTCGGTAAAAGCTGAACCAGGCAACGAGTTGAAAGAGAAAATAGTTAATTATGCTGAGTATGACAAAGTACAAAACATTAGTGATAGTGCACTTAATAATCATTCACCAAAAATTAAAGTAATAATGGCTGAAGGTGTTCATCAATCTGAAACCCAAGCTTCAAGAGGAGTTCAAGATTTTCATCGCAAGTTTCGTAAGATTCGTGTAATTAGACAGGCTTTGGAAGATGATGAATTGGAAACTCTCTTTGAAGCAGCAGTCAACAAATGTGGTCTTGTTGATGATGAAATTCGTCGAAAAGTGTGGCCTAAGTTAGCTGGTGTTGATGTGTATGAAACCTCCCCCCGCCCTGATAGCAAAGTTTTAGAAATGCATAATTACTACAGTCAAGTTGTTTTGGATGTAAATCGTTCATTAAAGCGGTTTCCACCCAGTATTGAAGAGAAACGGAGGCTGGCAATGCAAGATCAGCTTGTGTTGTTGATCATGAGAATTTTGGTGAAATATCCAGATCTTCATTACTATCAAGGTTACCATGATATTTGTGTAACATTTTTACTTGTTCTTGGAGAGGAAATTGCTTTTAATGTTATAGAAAAGCTTTCTACGACACATTTGCGAGTCTTTATGGACAAAACAATGGAGCGAACGAATGAAGTTTTAGAATGTATTTATCCCCTTCTGTACAAAGTTAACCCAGTTCTGCATGACTTTCTCCTTAGGTCAGATGTTGGGGTGATTTTCAGCCTAAGTTGGGTGATTACTTGGTATGGTCATGTACTAAATTGTTATAGCGACGTTGTACGTTTGTTTGATCTTTTTTTGGCAAGCCATCCGTGGATGCCTTTGTATTTAGCCGCAACAATTGTATTGCATCGTGAAAGTGAAATTATGGATCAGGATTGTGACATGGCATGCGTCCATTCCGTGCTATCAAAAATTCCCGATGACTTGCCGTTTGAAATCCTCATAAGTAAAGCTTTAGATCTGTTTGATGCTTACCCACCTGAAGTTCTAAAAGCAGAACAAGAACTTATCACCAGGCAAAAAAAGCAACGAGAAGCAGAATTGACAAGACGGCGATTGAAATTGAAACAAGTGCAACAGAAGGGTCTTGTTTGTGGAACAATCTATGCACTGTGTGGTAACGTTACAGAATATTTTTCTGCAAGGTGGACTGTGCCTATAACTATGGCAGCAGCTGTTGTATTTTATGCAGTGATTTACCAATTCTATAATAAGTGAGACCAGGGAAAGAGTAGGTCATTCTAAAACAAACTAATTTAATTCAAAACCTCTAAAATGAAGTATATAAGAACTTTATTTTTTTGATTGAAAATTGTCTTAATTCCATATGATTTTTTTTTTTTCTAAATTAATGATATACAGAGATTATAAACACTATTTCTGTATAAACTTCAAAACAGTTGAATTGACATAAGTGCTAGACTAAAAAAAATATTTTGTCACGAAAATAAAATATTACTGCATGAAATAACAGAAAAAAAAGTTAATAATAAATGATATGGTTGATGCATAAAATACTCGAGTCTTGAAGCTTTTGTATAATGAGATCCAGATTTATATATTCAAAAAGTTTTAGCTTTTTTTTTTTAGAAGTTTATACTTAACAGTACTAGTGACTGCATGTTATCTTACTCATAATATCGTCTCGAAAGAAAGAATGTCACGGTTGTGCATCTTTATCGAACTGCTACTTTATGACATTTTGCTAATAACAAAAAATGATTTCTTTAGTTGCTTTTTGTCAAACAGTTATATTTGGTGTTTTTACAAGTATGTATATATACATATATATATAAGGCAATGTAAATATTACCCACCACAGTAATGTTCTGCTTGAAATATGTACCATCAGGTGAGACACAATAGGATTAGTTCCACATGTTTTTGTGAGGTTAAAGACAACCCAACCAGTTATTGTAACAAAAGAAAGAAATGGTTAGTGAAACTCAAACATAAAAAAAAACATACCAGTAAGGGTGGTACTTTAGAAGTATCATGGTGGCATGTGACTTTTCTGTCACCTTTTGAATGAATTAACAGAAGAGCATGCATTCTGAGACTATATAATGGTGCTAATAAATAATCAAACGTCGCTAACTTTCAGCATTAAAATTGAAACTATAATATTGTATTAGAAGATACCTAGCATCATCCAATTGGGTTTTCAAATTAGTTATGCAGTGGTGGGAAACAGTATTTTGATGAAGTTTCTTGTGCGAAAGGCATGTACGTTACATTGTTTTTTTTCAATCTCCATTTGGTGTTTTTATCTTTCAAATGTTTGGGTTTTTGCATCTGTCAGTATCAGAGTATTGTTTTTATGTTGCTGTAACGCTTATCTTACTTTTAGTTATCCCAAGTGATAAGTGAAGCATTTTTTTACTCATTATTGTTTGTGGCTAGCTTAACAACTGAATAATATGTTTGAAGGCTTTCATTATCTCTGTTACATGTTTAAAGTTGGTATAAAACATTTAAAGGATAACACCATAGTCCTGAAGAGTAAACAAATATATTTTTATTTGTAAAGGATTCAGTAGTGTGTTGGAAAAAAAAAAAGTAGTAAACATCCCTTGACTGTTTCTTTCTGGTTATTTGAAGAAAACACTGTACAATGAATGAACACAGAATTTATTATTTGTTTGTTTTAATATCTGTTCAAAAGATATTATTGATGTAAAAGTGAAACCAACCAGTGACACATTTCTAGACCAGCTGTAATTTTAACCTAAATTAGGTTGATTTGATTTTAGATTATTATTCCTTAGTCATGAAATATAGTGTGATTTACATAACAGTCTAACAAACATGCTAAAGTATGAATTATTATAAGATTTTTTGATGTTTCTCTGACTAATTGGATCACAGTTACTTTGTGATGTTAAAAAATCAATTTAACCCAAAAATATAAAACCATATAACCTGAGTGGTTTTGAAAGGTGGACCTTTTTCATCTGGGGGGCAAACTGGGAATTCCGAGTTTACCACTGATGAAGAAAGATCCCCCTGCAAAACATTGTATCTGTTAGCCATTGCATAATCATTTTAAGGGGCTTCAGGTGAACTAAGGAAACTTTACAGTGAATTTTTGTTTAACTTACTAACTTTCGTTTTATGTTGAAATGTTTTATACTATGTAAATCTGGTTATTTAAATTCTCAAGATTGAATTTTGGGTGCCCTTTTTTGTTTAAATGTGGATTGTGAAGAGATAAGTTTTAAGAAATACCATAGCTACCATTTTAGTTTGGAACTGAGTGTGTGTGTAAGAAGGAAAATACCTTCTTAAATGTATTCACTACATCATGTCACAACAGTGATGTTTAAATCAAAGTTTGGATTTTTAAGGTCTGTTATTGTACAAGAAATACATTAATTTCAAGTAAAAGTATGATAATCCAAATTATTGGCGTGTGTTTCGATTTTTTTGTGTGTGTGTGTGTGAAATGTATTAAAGGGAAAAAAATGGAGAGTACTGAAAAATATTTTCATAGTAAAGATTAAAGTGTTATATATACCCATCAGATGGCACCACACGTATGTTAGCGGTAAAGTATGAAATATAAAACAATTGTATTGCGATTTGATATGTAATATATTTACATATAACATGATGCAGTACACTATCGATGTAAGTTGCATGTTTTTTGAAACAGTTTAAACCCTGATTCTCGGAGGGTAAATTTACGGACTTAATTTAATTTCCCGAGGTGGATAGAGTGCAGATACCCCAATGTTTGGCTTTGCACTAATACTTATAAATCTCAAACAATAATAATAATAGATTAGAGCAAAAATAAAATACTCATTTCAGTGGTATGGTAAATACGTTAGACTAGGGTGAAAACAAAAATTACAGAGCATGTAAGTAACGTAAAAGATCTATATCATTGCGAAGTATTTTCAATCAAATCAGTAGTAAATTGCGACATTAAACCAACCTATAGAAAGACCATACTTCTTATAGAGGCACTTACTTCCTTGGTGACTCGGCGTTAAGGGCTTTTAAGCTAAAAATCGGGTTTAGGTACCCATGGTAGGCAGAGCATAGATAAGCCACTATGTAGCTTTATGCCAATAAATAACTATAGAAGTGTTTAAGGTAAACTGAATTAAGTTACTGACACAAAAAGACTGAAATTTAGTCACTTGGACTTTTCCATTTAAAATCAACATTTTACAAATGTCTTAATGCCAATAGGCTAATACGATCATTTATTAAATAAAAGAAGAAATACAAACATTTATTACAATATCTGCCATGTATGCATACATGTGCACATAGTTTAGAAAAAATGAAAAGGTGGTTGAAATTTCATGAAAAATAAACAAATAGATCACTAACGTAAAAAACTTTTCACTTATTTTCCTATACCTAAATACATGTTTGTTTGTTGTTGGATGGGGTGGTAGGCAGACTTACACAAGCCGCAAACGAAGGGTTAAAGGCAACATGCGTACATCCATCTATAATTTTAAGCTGATATACTGTGACTGTTATAACGCTCAGACAGCTGAAAAGTGCGGAGCGTATTTAGAGGCGTATCGCGGGTTTGAATCTTGGACTTGTCGATACGCAAATTCCAAGGGTATGCCACGCCCTCTAATTCATAAGTGAATTATCTGATTTTTTAAAAAATACACTCTATTGCGTTGTATGTCATTTACATAAATTTTATTTTTTCAATCTGTTCTTCGTTTCATCAGAAAAAGGAAGAAAAAAGCTGTTTTAAGTTCCTCATTAAAAATATTTTTATATGCAACTTTTATACTACGAAATAGTCTATTTCCTACAGAAAATATTTTGAACGAAGATAGCATACATATAATTTTTGCTTCGACTCTTCGGGTAACTGTTACTCTAGTATTGCGCTATTCGCGCATCATTACAGTCGGCTCTTTATATATACATATAAATTTTTAACTGGTTTGTTTTATTAGCGCCAAGCGACACAAAGGCCTATCTGCCCTCTGTCGACCGCGGGAGAATTTAGCTTTCAAGTTCGTAAACATACCGCTGATCCACCGGATAGACATTTTGAGTGATTATATTGTTAGTTTTTTCTTATCTAAATATTTAACAGCTAATCTTCGTAACTTGAAATACGTGCCCTCTAATGAAATATGATATCAGTAATAACTAATCAATGTAGACTGTTAGCTTTGTTGTTTTTGTTTTATTATCTGTTTTGCAAGTAGGTTATATTCTGTTAGAAAATTATAAGTTTTTAACCGGTACTGTTAACGTAACATAAAACTAAAAGAAAAATATATATATATATATAAACACACACACACACACACATATATATATATATAACGTATTTATTTTTATTGTTTTTTTATTATTTTGCATTCTTAGCTTATAGTATGGGTTTTGGAGTATCATAGTTCTTCTTAAGTTGGCTATTAGCCAACCTCACGAGATATTATTTAGATTATGGCTGAATCAACGCATTACAAGTAATAAGTATGATAAATCCTTTTCGCTCCTGTAAGTGTAAGACACACAAAGCTTGTATTTAACTCTGGTTTCTTGTGGCACAAGCTGATGAGCTTGTTTGTTTGTTTTGTTGAATTCCTTATATAGGTGCTCGAGGAATATTTGCCATATCCGTCCCTAATTTAGAAATGATAGATTAGACTCACTAAAAGAACTGCAGCTAATTAATACCACCCATCACCAACTCTTGGGCTACTATTTTACCAACGTATAGTGGAATTAACTGGAACATTACAGCATTCCCACGGCTGAAAGGGAGAGAATGTTAGGTGGTAGAATTCGAACCTGCCACCCTTAGATTGCGAGCTGAGTACCTTAATCACCAGGCCCTCAAGACCGATGAGAATAGTAGCATATTAACCGTGCTCCATTATCCCCTGGTTCCTCTTTCTGTACACAATATTGACAATTTAAATTCGGGGTATCAGTTTAGTTTGTTAATTTTAAGATTAATTGAATATTCAACACCTTAATTACGTCACACGGAAAATAAAACTGATAAATACACAGAATCAAAATTTTAAATCTTCGTGAAACCATAAGTAACTTGTAAAGAAATGCTACAGTTAGTTACCCAGACATATTTTGTAAATACCCAAGTGACAAATGTAAGTTTCTTCTGAATTGATTTTTAGTTTTATGTAGTTCTGGTGTGTAACACGCAGATGTGTGTGTGTGTCTGCGTGCATTTTAGTGTATTGTAGGTGTGTGTATGTTTCAATATTAATGAATGTAAATCATGTGCGTTTAGGAGTCTTACCTAACACTAACTTATGTTTCCCCTAGTTTGGCAGACAATAACAGTCTAGGCCTAAAACAAGCTTAGTGTTGTTCCAACGTTTGTGTAAAACCGCCCGTAGGTTCTACCACTGAAATTCAGTCATCACCATATGCTAAACAGATGTGGATCTAATAGAAAATTTGATCCACGACCTTGTGGGACGACGCAGACGGAAGGAAAAGAAATATCAAGGGTGTCATGATTAGTTCAGAGAAGTAGGCCTATTCATCATAACCTGTAGGTTTTAGACTTGTATAAAGTATTTGAATTCGTTATATAGTTATTGTTGAATATGTCGTTACCTAAGCTATATGTATTAAAATATTCTTTAGATAACTTTTGAAGTACTTAAGTTAAAAGATATGGCATATCTCAATACTGCAAAATAACAAAAAATCGAATATGAGTCGAATAGGTTTATAATATGTGTACATAGCACTGGGAGACAAGATACGTTATATCTGAGGTTTTACCAAGAGGCCAAAGTATCATTGAATTTTGAAACATGCTGTGGCAGTTACTGTTACTAGGTCTTGGCTGGAATTAGAAGTTGACCTTAAGTTCAAAGAAGGGGACATTTTAACACTGGTATTATCCTTTGTCAAGTTTGACTAATTCCAGTGTGGACTTGTATATTATATTATTAGCTGCACGATCCTACCTAACAATAACATCAAATAGCTCACGTCATCGACTTGGGATACCAGGTAAGTTTTGAATAATTGTTAAGCTTATTTTCCTTAGGGAATCTTAAAAATTAAACATTGTAAGTCATGTAAAAATATTTGTGAACTAAGAAATTTAACTTGTATCATAAGTAAAGTAATATTATAAGAGTAATAGATAAAATAGTGTCTGTAGCAAACTTATCAGAAGGTGGGAGACGAGAATGTCTGAGGAGACGTTTAGCAGTCAGTGCTCGGTAGAGGGAGTTATCTTAGTGTATTTTATTAGCTATTCTCATTACGGGCTCTAAATATGGGTAGCTTGTTTTGATTAGAAGTTAATGTTAATAAACTTAGATTGCAACGTAATATTATCGGCGTGTTATTTACTGACTAGAACAAGAAAAATACTGTGAGATATTATTATTAATGTTATTTTTATGATAAAGAACTTTTAGAAATCTCACTAAATAGTTTCAAGGTAAGCTTAGACGAAAGTGGGTAAAATTAAAGTAAGCTAAATTTATTATGTCAGTATGAAATTTTAAAACTTAAAATTAACCCTAAAAAACTTTTATGATAAAAGACAGGATGATTATGAAGAAATTTCCATGTTTTAAATGATCACATCTTAAAAACAAGAGGGAATCCTCAATAGCCGCGGCACTTTTAGGCAGGGTTAGAGTAAATTAATCTATGAAACCGTTTCATTACTTTTTATCAGCTATATTTTTGTGCGCCAGCAACACCAAGCGTGGGACACGCGTAAACTCGATTCGATTTTATTATTCATCAGGATCTTCACCAGCCTCCCCTCAAATTACATTTTTTAGGCACAATTAGAATAAATTATTCTTTGAGTTGGGTTTGGTCAAAAGGGTTTGACCTCCTGAGTCCAAAACTGTAATTAGATCTCAAATCGATCAAGAGATGACGGAGCTATGAGCTAAAAGTTTGTACTTGGAAAAACTAGGAGCCGTTCTTTGGAAACTTAAAATTTATTTTGAATCAATAAAGAAAGCAATAAACAGTTTTTCGATTCAAAACATAATTATATCTAAAGCTTGTTATTTTTTGTACAAAAGAAGCTCGATGAAACCGAAGTCGAAGCAAGTTTCTGTTTGAGTGAATGCTCTTTTCATTGGCTGCTATGAACTTTTGACACCTCCAGGGTTCTCACTTGATTGGTCCATTCACTTTCAAAGGTGAACACGTCATCTATAGAAAAAGCACGGAATTAACATAATATTCCACATCCTAATTAACACAACTTCATATTTATATGACAATAGAAATATCTTACGTTTTTGACATTTTCTTGAGTTATGTTTAAATAAAGACAGTTACTGGATCGTAACGGTTATGGATGGATAATTTGATATTTCGAATTATGCAAGGCTAACGAAAACCAAGTTAATTAATTAATTAATGGAGAGCTGTAAGT